CCGATTCATATGTAAATACAATACCATTTCCGACACGATTTAATATACAAAATACAATACCCCATCTGACACAATTCAATATACAAAATACAATACCACATCTGACACGATTCAATATGTAAAATACAATACCACACCCGACACGATTCAACATACAAAATACAATACCACACCCGACACGATTCAACATACAAAATACAATACCACATTTGACACGATTCAATATGTAAAATACAATACCATTTCCGACACGATTTAATATACAAAATGCAATACCCCATCTGACACGATTCAATATGTAAAATACAATACCACATCCGACACGATTCAATATGCAAAATACAATACCACATCTGACACGATTCAATATGCAAAATACAATACCATTTCCGACACGATTTAATATACAAAATGCAATACCCCATCGGACACGATTCAATATATAAAATACAATACCACATCCGACACGATTTAATATGCAAAATACAAAAAAAAAATCTATATCAAAAAAAATAAAATTTGATTAAAATACAATACATTCCATATCCAAATGGAATGTCGAAAAAGGAACTGGAAATGATACTGTTTTCTGAATTATCATTTATGTTTTCTGCATCGACATTTTAGTTTTATCAATTTTGATTTTTTTTCTTCTCTTTTAAATTAGTTAAAGGGAATGTAAGAGGTTTTCTAAATTTTGTATCAATTTGCACTGTTCCAATTTTCAATCAGACGTCTGTGGTTCTTGCAATCCACAAAAATGAGTCTTTGGTGACGTATTTTCTTTATCACAATATTAAGGCCTTTGGCGATTAGTGACGTCATCAAACACTTTTAGTTGCAAGAACGTCTGATTGAAAATTGGAATGGTGAAAATTGATGCAGTAAGTGTTACTCAAAACTTTAGAAAACCTCTTGACAATCCCTTTTGGTTGATTGTCCTAAAAGAAGTACCGTGCGAATATTATGATATAGAAACAAATTTGTAAAAACTTACAATTAATATTGTCAAAATAATGACAGATTATAAATTAAGATTGAATTTTCATTGTATTACAATTATTCATAAAACATAAGATCTTGTGTTTCGTCATCATCATCGATCAAACCACTGACAGTTGGCTGATTGTATTTCCAATAGATCAATTTCAATATTTTATTCATTTTTTATCAGCTATCTGTTTATTGATATATTCATAAGTACTTATTACTATAAAAAGTACCAATTTATGTGCTATGACAAACATCGTGGGATAAAGGTAATTATAGAACTACTTGCTTGTAAATAATTGACGAGTTATCAGCATTTTACAAAGGAA